GATTAGTCACTGGGAATCCAGGTGTTGAAGATGCTTATATCCAGTTGAAGATGCACTAAGTCTAGGTTGGATCACCAGAGACTTTGTGACTTGGCTCCTGGAGGGCACAGAAGATCCAACCCAGCTACCAGGAAGACCATGACGTTGGGTGATTGACTGGGAAACATGCGTGCATGTCTGTAACATCTGGAGACAGGGGCTCCAGATAGTTACCAGCTCGATTGAGCGTGCAAGGCCGTTACGGTCTCTGTGTGTGCTAATGTCTACAGGTGTGGGGGGGGCTGTCACCAATTAATGGGGGATCCACAGTGCATATGGATGTGGATGCATGAGGTAACTGGAAATACATGGGGTCCAGGGCCAGTTCCTGGGGTAGACCAACTGTCTTGGACCAGTTACTGGGGGATCCACGGTATGTGGGGAAACGGGGCGGGGGGATGCATGAGTATCTGTGAGGGATGGAGACTGAGTTCCAGCAACTGGAGAGGGTCTGGGGGCACTTTTAATTCCAGGTGCCAGTAACTGGGGAGACAGAGGACCCAGGACTAGCTCCTGGAAACCTGCATGGCTAGGCTACTTATTTGGGGGATCCATACTGTGTATACTTATTGTATGCATTTTCCACTAACATACTTTCATCCTGATCATTCAGAGAGGGGAACAGGATGAAGCTGCTGGTGTTGCCCGTGTCCACATGAGTGCTGAATGATTCTGTCTCTGCTGATCTGCGTTGCCAGCTCTGTTTGTATGTACACATGTGTGTTCATTTGCATGGGAATTACACGCCCAGGCTCACTTCTGGTTCAGCCTGGGTACAGGGAGCAGGGGCAGACTCATCTCTTATCTGGCAACCCCTATCACTTTGGTCTCTGGATCTAGCTAGACATTATTTGGAAGGTAGATATGAGGTTGTTTTGCCCACATTTTGTGCATTACTCAAATTCTCTCTGCCGCATTCCCAGCCCACTGGAAAATTGTGGTTATTACAGCACCAAGCCTCAGCTAATACAGTTTCTCCAACAGCAAGGCATAAGTAGCAAGGCATTTGCTCCAGGCTTCCAGGCAGCTCTGAGATACCACACTGAGCTTACAACTGCCTGCAAAATACTATGTGAAATACACCCTGCATTAGCAAGCAGAGTGTGACAACAAACCTGAGAGCAAGCCTTTTCTTTTTTTTTTTTTTTTTTTTTTTAAAAAAAATAGCTGGTTGGAGGGCAGTAGTTCCTCATATGCTTTAAACAGTGACCCAGCTGAAAAGTCCCACTTTCGCCCCCACACACAGCACTCGGTGCTCTCCCTCATCCCACCCCTGCACCTCCCTCTCCCTTGTGCCACGAACACAGGCGTGTTGCGTGGATGTGCAGTGAACGGCCCCAGAGGAATCAGATGGATTAAAACTGAGCTGGCAAAAAATAAACAAAGCATAATTCCTTTTAGTGCAAATCAGTTTCCCGATTAAGTTCATACTTGTGCCTGCGTGAGGGAAGAGCTGGTGAAAGGTGTGGGAATGAATGGCTGACTTATGAGAGTGACAGCTGCTCCCTTCAGCAGCAACGTGGGCTTGTGCAGGACTAAAGCACACATGAAACTACAGCCTAAAGCACTCAGTTTAAGACTTTCCAATAAGCTAACGGAGAAAAGGACGAGAAATTTGATGAGTACTGCATCCATATATATATTAAAAAAAAAAGAGCATAAAAGTTTTTGAGTTAAATGTGAAAAAAATAAAAAACAAAAAAACTTAAAACTGTAGAAGAATGTGTAAGAGAGGGTGGAAAGTCCACTGTAGTTTATTGAGGGTGAAACAGATTTTTTGGTAAGAGACCAAGTTCTGGAACAAAGCCCAAAACAGGATCCACATGCAGTCACTGATGGAGGAACTAGGATCCGCCAGGAATAAATCCTCCAGCCCAGAAATGTAACTTGGAAGAATCAAACCATGCTCTGCCACCATGGATATTAGTGAGAACTCAAAACACCGGGAATGCAAATGAAGTGGGAAGAGATGAAAAGCAGGTATGCATGTGGAGCTTGTGATGGAGCCCCTTTAAAATACGCTGAATTTCACCTCTCGTTGCAACCTCACAAGCCAAACCATCTCTCCCAAACGAGGAGAGGGCACTTGGGAGTGGAACATAAGCTATGCAGGATCTAGCCACAGCACGCAACAACCCATCAGCTACTGAAGAGTGTGCACGGTACCCCTCAAATGATAAGCAGTAGCATCCCTCCCACAGTGAAATCTTCCAAGAAACAATGGACAATGCCACAGCAGAAAATCCTTTACTTATGAATTTGCATCCGAATGAAATACCTACTGATCCAGAGTGGGACATAGGGTGCAGTGAGATCCTGAATGTTATTTTTTCAACAGTCTGTTTATAACTTGCAAAATAAATAAAACATGAAAGAGATTTTGATGGCTGCAAACACGTATTTGGCAAAAAGTCATAAAAAACAACCCAAAATTAGATTTTGTATACGTCAATCTAAGAAAAGAAGAAAAAAAACAAAAAGGAAAGAAAGAAAAAACCCTCAAATACTTTGTCTCAGCTAAAACATGGATTGACATAGCTACTCATGAGGATAAGACCCTCCAGAAAGCAATTAAATATTTTCATTTCACCAATGACAACATATTCACACAGAACAGGACGTTCCCAAGACTGATTTTAAGGGTAGGGGGAAAGGTCTCAATTCCTCCAAGGATTTTTACATAAAGCACCTGAGATACTAGAAAAAAGTATCTTCAAAGTGCTACACTAATTTTCATTTAGCAGTTAAAAAAAAAACTGAGAAAAGGGTCAGAAATGTCTTAGGCTAGCCTCGAATGAACAGTGGAAGTTGCCAAAGCCTGCCACGTTTGTCAAAAATACAGACAAAATCAAGAAAAGAAGTCTAAAATGTGATGCAGGCAAAATTTAATCCCTGAAGCAAATTTGTTCTATTTTGTTAATTAAGTTGGTAAGAAAAATTTTATGCAATAGACTAAAACTATTCTCACTTTTTTGTTATATACCTGTGGTAAAAGTCCCAATGGTTAAGTAACTAATTAGTTATGCAACTCCAAGTAATTTTGCTACACACAATGTAAAGCAAATAAAAGCAGCTTCTAGTGAAGCAGAAAAAGCATCAGACCCCAGTAGTGTACTACACTCCATTTTTAGCAAGCAAATTTCTGGAATTTTTCAGTCACTTTTGGTCACTTGCTGATACTTTGTTCAAGAAAAATACTAGATCAAGAAAAGCCATGTCCAAGGCCCTGGAAAATTTCCCCAAGAAATTTAGGGACCTACACAGAAAGGTTGATTAAGAAAATCCCCCAAATAATATGGGACCCTGAGAATATCCCTAACAGTGGTGTCCATAGTTCAGTATTACGAAGACTGTCATTTCAGACCGGCAGAAATAAAGGGGGAAAAGTCAAATAGTAACAGGGGCAGAGCTAAAAAGACTGATCTTGCTTACAACAGAGACCCAGTTGTCTTCTGAAGGCTGCAGTCATAACTTTCTGGTGGAGTCAAAATTCAACCAACCTGACCCTGAACATCAAGACTAATTTCTTATCATGTTTTTTTCAGTATTTTCAAGTGTGTGTTATTCAACACTGGCTTAATTTTATGTTAAGTTCTGCCTTGAAAACTTATGGACAAAACTACCTACCTAGAGAGAAATTTCAACTCAGTGTTACAAAGCTCTTCTTGCTTACATGCCTTTTACACCAGGCAATGGAAAAGAAGAAAATTATCCTGAGAACAGAGAACTGTAGGATCCTGCTTCCCCTGAATGCCCTTAGCACAAGGCAAAAAGTCCCGCTCCCTTCTTCATTTGCTTCTAGTCCTACTCCACAAAAGAAAATGACCCAGGTCCATAGACAAGGTAAAGATCTCCCTCCTCTCCTCCTCCCTGAGCAATACAGGACTTCCTGCTGGTGGACATGTTCTCCTGGGATGTGCTGAGAGTTCAAAGCCTCATAGCTTCTCAGGACCTGAAAAAATGTGTTAACCTGGAGGGCTCCCATGCAAAATGTGGTTCACCCAATAACACAACCCAGCAGGTACTTTCCAAGAAAGTACAAGACCCTGTTCAAGTTAGGTACCAACACCAGGTACCTAACAGTAGGTGCTGCATCTTTGGATGCAGGTCCAAAAACTGGATGCCCAAGCAACACAAAGCCTGCAGCTTCAGGGCCTCGTTTCACAAGTTCTAAATTAAAAACTACTATCTGGTGGTGTTCATTTTTAGTTATAAAGCAAAATCACTTCTGTTTACATGGCTCATGTCCTAAGCAACTCAGAAACTGCCTGGTTCCTTGTGCGTTACCATGGCACTGTAGATTAGCTGAGGTGAGTCTATGAGAGGAGGCTGGAGAAAGTGCATTTCAGCAAAGACATTTGCCTCTGCAAACCATTTCACACACCTTCAGCGAGATGATTTTCATTTAGATTATAGTGTAAACCTTGCCCATTCGCCATGCAGACCTTTTCTCAGGGAAAGATTACTGCACGGCTGGAAATCTTACCACACCCTTTTTCACAAGATTTTGCTGTTCTGGGCTTCAATTTTGAAGTTATAATTTTATTTGCTACACATTATCATCCTAACATTCTGATCTTTTCCTTCTGACATTTACTTGTACATACAAGCTTTTTAAGAAACACTCATTTATTCGTTTGGCATATCACTTATTTCTTCATTCATATAACGCACTTTGCCTCTGACAGAGGACTAATCCTAGTGGTTGTTTCCAGTAAAAGAATATTCTTCTTGAACTAATTTCAACTGGCACACACTCACTCATGAACAGTAAAATACAGTGATATAAGCATGAATGATAAAGGCATTTTTTCCTGTAACATACCCATGAATCACAAGCAATACCCATCTAATGTGCTGTAACATTTACTTCTGTTTAGAGAGTGAATTTAGGTTTTTCCAAGTATTATCAATTCATTTACAATGAAATGGAGCGGAGGATTAAAAATCAGGTTTCATACCTAGCTTGGTGAATAGCTTCTACCCATTCATCTCCATCAGCTTCATCCTCACAACGGAGCTCCAGTGGCTTCTGCCCTTCGTGGCCAAAAAGAACAGTAAAGTAATGCTGCAAATTAGAATGAGAAAAAAAAAATGTGTTCAGAAACTCTTTAAAATAAAATGTATATATATATAAATATGCCTTTTTAAACACAGTCAACCAGCATAGAAAGATGTGTTTTAAGCTATTAGTCATAAAACACAGATTGAGGTTGAAACTGTACCCTTAACATATTCCCCTGTGTATCAAGGTAATAGTTTTCATGATACTCACCGATAAGTTATTGTTCTTAAGCTCCTACATACAATACAACAGAATATAATTTCCTAAGAGCTCCTACAGTCGAATACAATAGTGTGTCTGTAGTGGGGTGCCTGTAGTTCTTCTTCCCTTGCATTTTTTCACCTAAATTTTTTCTTAGATGCCACCCCAGGGTCCGAATCTGGAACTGCCACTACTTACGAGAATTTGCACTGGCTCTGACTTATTTCCTCTCCTTTCCAAAAGAACAAGGAAAGCGTCTCTTCCCATTCATCACAATCCCAAAACATTTTTGCCCTTCTTTCAAGAAGCCTCACCCATAGTTGTCATTGCAACAACTTTTTGTTTTCACCAGAAAGTGCTATTCACACAAGAAGTGTCATATTCTTCAGTGGCATTTCTTACATGAAGGACGTGGCCCACAGTATGTTCCATAGAATTTCAGGAAAGTTTTTGCTGCTTTCAGAATGTAGTGATAATAGCAATATCCACCGGGGAGGGAAGAACCCCCAGTCATCTACCTTCAAACCTGTTTCGCAAGGTTGGTCATTTACAACCTTATGTCACATCGCTTGCACACCAACTTACAGCCAGGTAGCAAATGAAATTCTTCCAACTTTGATGAAAACAGGTGAGAAACTACTATACCTAAACGCACACCTGTATTTTCCACAGCTACCTGAAATGCACCCACCAGAAAGCCAGATGTTTCACAGGCAGAGGGACCAGTTACGGACCTGCCCATACATAAAACCATCTGGTCATGAGGCCCAATGTGATTATGGAGCTCCTACAGCTAAACGTCTCTGCACCAGCTCACACCGTCCTCTTCATTTCCTACAACTTCTCAACCCCCTTTCCACCTTCATCCCAGCTAACAGGGAACCGGGTATAACTTCGTGTGGCAGCAATTTCTTTCTGGGGTCTCACAGCAAATTCCAAACTGGCTCCAGTCAGCAAGCGAGGTCTACAATTTGTGTTCTCCCACACCATTAGCCTTTGTTTACAGCAGTAAGAAACCTGAAGTGGTGTCAACAAACATTCTGCCTTCCCTGTCAAACCCACAGCTCAGCTGAAAAAACCTCTCTGAGCCAAACACCATGCTGGAGATCAAGCAAATATAAACCATCCCAGAAACAAAAGCCATTTCCAAGGCAGGAGGAACACAAGCATAAACAGAAACAGACGGGATGAAATTTTTACCTAGGGAGAATTGGCTGCAGATATTGTCAACACTGATAATGAATGTCGTCCACAGAAAAAAAAGATATTATTTCAGCCATTTATGGGCTCCTCCTGGAACATCTGGCCGCCTGCTGTGTGCGTACAAGACACTAAGCGTGCCCAGAGCAGGTTCAGCACACCCCAGATGCACCAGACTCACTAGGCTGGTGCAGTACTATCTGTGCACCTGGGTTTGCATCCAGGTCTGTGCCTGGGGACCTCGCATTTACAAAGCCCAGCTGCCTCCCTGCGTCTGCATACGCTCCTGTGCCTGGCTTCTTTTCGAGTAACACGAGTAGGTATGATGGCATTCCATAAAGAGAAAACTATCCGTTTGTGCCTCGTGTTAATTTGCTAAGCGTTGTTACATGTCTGCAAAATGCCTGTCATGCAGAAGACCACAAGCGCCGCAGGATGAGCAACAGGCCAACAAAACAGAAAAAAAAGGCGAAATAAGAAGAGGCATTCACATTTAACAGGCTATATAAAGGAAGTCCAAGCTCAGATTCACAGATTCACGGATTTGACAGAGTTGGAAGGAACCTCTAGAGATGATCTAGTCCAACTCCCCTGCTAAAGCAGGGTTGCCCAGAGCACATCACTCAGGACTGCATCCAGGCAGCTCCTGAAAATCTCCAGAGAAGGGGAATCCACCACCTCCCTGGGCAGCCTGTTCCAGGGCTCTGTCACCCTCACCAGAAAGAAGTTCTTCCTCATATTTGAGTGGAACTTCCCATGTTCCAGCTTGAGCCTGTTGCCCCTTGTCCTATCGCTGGAAATCACTGAAAAGAGTCTGGCTCCATCATCCTTCAACCCACCCTTTAGGAACTTGTAAACATAGATGAGGTCTCCCCTCAGTCTTCTCTTCTCCAGGCTAAAGAGCCCCAGCTCTCTCAGCCTTTCCTCGTAAGGGAGGTGCTCCAATCCCTTAATCATCTTTGTTGCCCTATGCTGGACTCTCTCCAGTAGTTCCCTGTCTCTCTTGAACTGGGGAGCCCAGAACTGGATGCAGTATTCCTGTTGTGGCCTCACTGGTGCAGAGCAGAGGGGGAGAATGACCTCCCTCAACCTGCTGTCCACACTCTTCCCTGTGCAGCCCAGGATTCCATTGGCCCTCTTGGAAACAAGGGCACATTGCTGGCTCATGGAGATCCTGCCATCCACCAGGACCCCCAGATCCTTTTCCTCAGATGTGCTAAGTTTCACAAATGAAACAACTCCAGAGCACAGGTGAGGGTCAATAAAATGTGGAAAGGACAACCCTATACAACTGTGGGGTTTTGACAGCACATATCACTTAAATATGAATGCCACAAATAGAAAGAAACATTTAATCAGGTTATGGTGGGTTGACCCTGGCTGGACACTCAGCGCCCACCAAAGCTGCTCTGTCGCTCCCCTCCTCAGCTGGGCAGGGAGAGAGAAAACATAACAAAAGGGTCGTGGGTCCAGATAAGGACAGGGAGAGATAACTCACCCGTTAAAGTCATGGGCAAAACCAACTCAACTCAGGGAAATTAATTTAATTTATTACCAATCAAATCAGAGGAGGATAATGAGAAATAAAACCTAAATCTTAAAACACTTTCCCCCACCACTCCCTTCTTCCCAGGCTCAACCTCACTCCCTATTTCTCCACCTTCTCCTTGAGAGATGTGGGGGGATAGGCAATGGGGGTTGTGGTCAGTTCATCACACCTTGTCTCTACCTCTCCTTCCTCCTCAGGGGGAGGACTCCTCACACTCCTCTCCTGCTCCAGTGTGGGGTCCCTCCCACAGGAGACAGTTCTCCATGAACTTCTCCAACATGAGGGAAGTGCTGGAGAAGCGGGCTGCATTTCTTCACAAACTACTCCAGCGTGGGTCCTTTCCACGGGTGCAGTCCTTCAGGAACAGACTGCTCTTGTGTAGGTCCTCCACAGGGTCACAAGTACTGCCAGCAAACCTGCTCCAGTGTGGGCCTCTGTCTCCACTCTCCACAGGTCCTGCCAGAAGCCTGGCATCTCATGGGGTCACAGCCTCCTTTGGGCATCTGCCTGCTGAAGCATGGGGTCCTCCATGGGCTGCAGGTGGACATGTGCTCCACCATGGACCTCCATGGACTGTAGGGGGTGCAGAAGGACAGCCTGCCTCACCATGGTCTTCACCACGGGCTGCAGGTAGAACCTCTGCTCCAGTCCCTGGAGAACTTCTTCATCCTCTTCCTCCTTCTTCACTGTCCTTAGTCTCTGCAGGGCTGTTCCTCTCACATATTCTCACTGCCCTGTACTGGGGGCTGTTCCACAGCAGGTTTATTTTTCCCTTTTATAACTCTGTTATCCCAGAGACACTACCACCATCGCTGATGGGCTCAGCCATGGCCATCAGCAGGTCCTTCTTGGAGCAGGATGACATTGGCTCTGTTGGACATGGGGGAAGGCTTCTGGCAACTTCTCACAGAAGCCACTCCTGTAGCCCCTCTGCTCCCAAAACCTTACCATGCAAACTAAGTACACAGGTCCAAAGGACTCTCCATTGCAGTGATAGATTAAAACTTTTATAACAATACAGTGCAGTTGAAAACAACCTACAGGACAGTAAAAAGTGCAGCAAGATTACACACAAATGTGCTCTGTTTATAGACTGGGATAGTCTATTTTAAAAACTATATTTAAAGATAAATCACACTGTTCAGAGCTGCAATTTATGTAACAACTTATTTGTACTTCATAAAGCTGCTACATATAAAATTAGAATAAAGACACAAGTGTAGACAAGCGCTGGATTTAATCCCATTGTGCAGGGATTCAAGTTAAAGGGAGAGACAATATTACAGTCCTCCCTACTTTTCTTTTAAAGTGAGGTAACTCAGACCTCTTTTGAGCAAGACTTGCAGTGATCTCATGTCGCAGAATTTAGACTTTGAGGTGTGCGGTTACTATGGTGATAGGCATGATCTAAACACTTAGTTAGGCCAAGGAAATGCAGAAATTCAAAGAAACTTAGAGGGCTACTACAGTAGGACTGGACCCAATGGAAACAAGAGCTAAACTATAAAAGGCATTTGTTTTCTGAAGCTGCTTCAAAAATCATCCACATCCTCCACCCCCCTCAAACATGCACTCCAGCATCAGTATCAACATCTCGTAATTTACTCAGAAACAGTCAAATCTAGAGTAAGCAAAGTGCAAGCAAAAGATCATAACACGCCTCTAAAAAGAATCTCTACGTCATCCTTGAATTCTCTTTTTAAAATAAATGTTGCTTATTTGCAAAGCTAATTTACTACAAGAAAATAAGATGGTATCTGTGATGCATTATTAGATTTTCAAGTTGATAATGTATGCCAGTGGGTCTATATACATATATATATATTTATATATAGACATATATAATTTTTACGCTGCCATTCAATCTGCTAAACAGCTCAGCTTCCACATCAGTGCAGTTCAGTATAGGTAAAAACCACCTTTCTGCATACACACTATTAGTTTTTTGAAGTGACGACAGTAAATATTTAAGAACTATAGGACACATTTACATCAACTACCCTCATCATCATTCATCATGTCTGTTGGACTATAAGGTAAGCACTCATGTTTC